CTATGATAGGAAAAGTCTTTTACGAAAGCGGCGATGGGTCGATTTTTTCCATAGGAAGCTATAGGGAAAATGGGTATTTTTGCAATAACTCAGGAACGACTCGGCCGATCCTTTTCATCTTCGAACTTGACCGAGATATTGTAAAGACTGAACTGTTTAGAAAATTTCATCGTGATCGGACTCTCCTTTCGAAAGTTATCGTTTAAACGGCCGGACATACTGACCGATTCTAGAGTGTACTCACTTTTTGAGTACACAAAAACATTTGAAAAACATTTAATAAATCTAAATTAAAAAACTTTAATTTTTTTTCATTCAATAATAACATAAACTTTAATTGTAAAAATGTAACTTATCTTGAGATTATTTACACAAAATTTTGTTTAACCCTTTCCGTCCGGATGTTGCCATATAGCAACATTGAGTTAGTATTTTGCTCAAAATTGACTTATAGCAATGATTTATCATTTTTTTAACAATTCGATAATCATGTCCAAACATTTTAGCACTGATTCATGCGTTCAGAACAGGAAAAAAGCATTCACTATGCAAATAAACAAGGTTCTACACGATGCCCCAAAAAAGCATCCCAATCGGAAAAACGATTTTTTGACGCCACCAAATATTCAATGGTCAAGGCAATTAGTGGTTAATTTTTGTCCATAGAGCCATTACATATTGCCTACTTAGTTGATATGATTCCATAAATTTGAACAATAAAAACTAGGGATGTTGCCAAATGGCAACACTCGGCTGCGAGGGAACAAAAATTTTAAAAACTTCGATTTTCTCTTCAATTGTCAAAATGATATCATTATATGGTAACATTCTTTGCGCATCATGTCTTTTCTTCTGATGTTGTGATGACGTCATTATATGTTTGTATTTTACCTATATTTTCTTTCTCTTCTAATGTACGAGTGCATACTTATTTCCAGTATATTCGGTATCATTCGCTCTTCTTGTTCTCTTGTATTTTCTAGGGTCTTTTTTTCTATTTCTTTCTAGTAAAGTCTTTCGTCTTCTAAAACTTTATATATATATATAAGAATTCAGTGAAGCAGTGATTCATAAGATTTTAAAGTCTTCAACTGTTCTTCAATAATCTGTATTTTTGATAATGCCAACGACAAGAAATTCTAAACGACACACTAGTATACCAAATGGACTTAGTGACGAAGAAGTACACTCATCAGAATCCGAAGATGAGATAAATAAAGTTAGACATGTTCTGTCAAAGAATATATTGACGAACAAAAATTCTTCGTCAAGTGAAGAGGATGATGCCGAAGAAACTAAGCAAGCTGGTTCACCATTGAAAAAAACGAAGAGGATGAATTGGAAAAAGAAAGACTTTGTTCTTCCATCAGCAGATTTTACTGAAACCTTGCCACCACCACCGAATGAGGAATTCGAACCGATTAACTATTTCTATTCTATGTTTGGAAAAGAGTCTATGTTGCTTTTAACTGATCAATCAAATTTATATTCTGTTCAAATGAATCCAAATAAGCCTCTTTGTATTTCTCAACATGAAATGGAGCATTTTATAGTTATATTAATTATGACAGGCGTTTATTCATTTCCAACACCACGTTTCTTTTGGATGAATACCACTCGTGTTGAATCCATAGCTTCTGTTATGAGTCGAGACAGATTTCTGCAAATAAAAAGAAATTTGCATGTCGTCGATAATTCAAATCAATTATTTATCAATGATCCGAATTTTGATCGAGCACATAAAGTTCGTCCATTACTTAATATCGTCAAAGAAAACTTTAGAAAGATTCCTAAGGAAGAAAATTTAAGTGCAGATGAACAGATTATTCCATTCAAGGGAAGAAGTATCATGAAGCAGCATATGCCACTGAAACCGAATCGTTGGGGATACAAAATGTTTGTCTTAGCCGGTGGTGAAAGTGGTATTTGCTATGATTTCATATTCTATACTGGTAAAGGTGAAAAGTCAGAGTATGGATTTTGTACAAAAATCGTTCTCACACTTTGTGAGACAGTGCCCCATGGAATCAATCATAAACTTTACTGTGATAATTTTTATACAACGATTGCATTACAAGTAGAGTTATACAAACTAGAGATATTTGCTTTTGGTACAGTGAGATCTAATAGATTAGCCGGTCTTGTAATAAAAACTGACAAAGAATTATCGAATGAAGGTCGAGGTTCAATGGATCATCGTGTTACAGAGGTGGATGGAATTCAGATATGTGCAACTCGGTGGTTTGACAATAACATCGTTAACTGCCTTTCTATCTTACATGCTTGTCACCCCATCGATTTAGTTGAAAGATGGTCAACAAAAGAAAAGAAGCATGTGGAAGTCACAAGACCACATGTTGTAAAAGCATACAATCAGTATGTGGGGGGAGTTGATTTATTAGACATGTTGATCTCATTGTATCGCATCAATGTTAGGTCAAACAAATATTACATGAAAATTATTTTCCATTTAATTGATATTTCAGTAGTAAATGCTTGACTCCTGTATCGACGGTATTCTTCTCAAATGAATGTTCCAAAGAAGAGCATGATGTCTTTATTGATATTTCGTTTAAATATAGCTGAAGCTTTACTTAAATCGGCTCCATTACCACCTCCAGTGAAACCTGGACGTTCATCGTTGAAATTATCTACAGTTGAAAATAGTGCTTCAGTCCCACAAAGAGTTGCACCAAGTCCTTTACCACCAAGAAGCGTTCGGTTCGATAAGTATGACCATTGAGCAGTACAGATAGAAAAAGGCAGGTGTCGAAATCCTGGCTGTGCTGGCTACACAAGAATCTCATGCTCGAAATGCTCATTACGTCTGTGTTTAAATGAAAGAAATAACTGTTTCAAAGACTACCATAACGAATAAATTGTCTCCTCAGCATAGTTATAAATCTTCTTTGTTCCTGCTTTTTCCATGTATTTCTTTAGTCTCTCAGTATTTATTCTATTTGCTTATATTCTCTTCATGAACAAATAGAAAGCCAGAAAATTTTACGTCATGATTAACAAAAATAAAAACTCAATTTTGAAAAAATTTTGATCTACAGCGGCCGGGTGTTGCCGTTTGGCAACATCAGGTTTTTCGGCCCCGAACCACTTTTTAGTTTCGAAAAACTCATTTTTACTATCTACATGATCAAAGAACAACAGAAATATAAGAAAAGATTTTTTAAATACTCTTCTTCTAGTAGCCGGACGGAAAGGGTTAAAGTCAAATTCGAATTTTGTTAAATTAAACTGTAAAATACTTTAGAATTTTAGTTTAAAAAAAAACTTGAATTTTTTAATCAAATTTTAAAAATGATTTAAATCAATATCTCTGTTGTATTTTTGAAAAATCATTGTATTCTGAAACTAGATTCTTGAGAATCTAAAGAAAAATTTTTGTTGCGTCAATTAATCGAATAACACTCTGAACTAAATCATTTAATTCAATTAATGTATTCTTTACAACAATATGCAACGAATTGTACTAGTGCCGGTACTATTTATTAAAAAAATAAAACTATTTACCATCTTTTGGAAACCACTTTATTCGATTTCTACAATACTCAACACAAATATTTTCCTGATTTCCTTCTTTTTTTTTGTTCCTTCCGTGTTTCATTATCGTGTTTCTTCTTTCCTTCTAGTAATATCTTATCTATAATCTAACCGGTCATATATGCTATAAGATAGCTTCTCTTTTTGAATCAACCAGGCCGAAAAGATTAAGCATAGAAAAATAAATAATATATTTTAATTATGATGAACTAAATATTCAGATTAATATAGAAAAGATATTCTATAGTAAATTTATTGCATCAAAAAGACACTGATCGAAATGAGCTGTGTCCAAATCATTTTTTAAAATCTACTATTGAAACTGATGTTTCTCTTAAAGTCATATAAGTTCTTTAATCAAGTAAATATTGAGATTATAATACTCATCATGAATACTTGTTTTTTTCATGCGATCTACGAAACGTTTAAGGACACAAGTGAATTTATGAGATAAAATTATAAAAACTGTATCATTGAAGATATATAAGTCAGATAAAAATGATTATTGGAATGAATGCAAATAAACTAATAATCTTATAATTGAAAATAGAAGAGAATAATTACAAACGAACAATAATACATATATATGCTTGATCATAAATCATTAAGAAAAAAATTAATATCGCTTTAATCTGAATAATACAGTTTACTCATCATTTACTTATAAATCCATTTAAATTTTATCATTAATTAATCAAACGTGTCACTAAATTGGAATGGAAAGGAAAGAGAAAGGAATTTACAATAATTATTGTTTCTTTTTGTCTCACGAACGAAGTTGAAAATAAAAAAAGACAGGAATCTAACTCTGAATTTTACTTATATTTATACTTTCTTAAATACTGGTGAACGTAAATTTTAATTTTCTAGTTATTTCTGTTCTCGTTTAACTAGCCAAATAAGAGGTTTTTGTATGCCAATACTATAATTTTTGAAGATGTTATTCATCATATAAAATAACGATCTAACAGAGTTCGAATATATCTGTTTTTTAATAAAATTCCTTTTGCAATATAATCATTCTTTTCTTGTTTAATCATCTGTTCATTATAATTCAAGTGGATAATACTACTTGAAAATGTATCATATGTCACAAAATAGATTACACAGAATTATCAAAGTTTCTCAGAAGCAAATGAAGGAATAGAAAGTAATTCTACATTGTATATTATATTATTCGCTAAAATACATCAGAATCGTATGAGAAGGACATCTTTCGAACAGAAAAATCTATGGATTCATCGATTCAACCAAGATATTTTTTTTCCTCTGTTATTTTTGCAGATACCCAAATAAAGAGTATAGTCAGTGGACAAATCAGGATGAGTCATCGAATCAATAGCAAATTTCGAACACACTAATGCACTTAGTAGTGCACCATTTGTGCCAATTTTTAGAAGATTTTTCTTGGTGTCATTTTGTTCCTAAAAATGAGCTAGACCTTCTAGTGTAATTAGATTTCTCGGCCTAGGAGCCATTTCCGAGAAAATCGAAGTTTTCTGTAGACCAATCGTGAATCAACCAATCAGAATGTTCTATAGCTGATGAGCTACGCTTTTTTCGACTATTTACAGATGTGTGCCATTTGTTTTTGGAAAAATAAAATTACGGTTCGATTCAGCGTATTTTTCTCTATCGATTAGGTTACTTTAAAAGTTCGGCCCATTCTATCTATTTCAGAGGGCGCCATAGGTAGTGCATTTGATATTGATTTGCTTAAGATGTGCTCTTTTTCTGCTCTGTCCGTTGACTAGTAGTTTTATTGATGCGATGTAAAGAAGATGAGTAATAACAGAATAGGAACAGAACGCAAAAAAAGTTTTCTTTTTCTCTAATAGCCTCTCTAACTTAAGAGTAGTTCCTAATGTCACCGACACTATGGCATGCACAAATCTTCATTCGCATCAGCACATTTTACTCCATGATGTAGAAAAAAAAAGTTACTGGCAATATGAAGAATGAGAAAAAAACAGAATTCAGAAAATATTATATGCGTTATTATTCACTGCTATTTCTCGTGTTCTATTCCAACTCACATGTTCTTCTTACTTTTTCATGTCTTACTAAAGACATAGTCTGCTCGTTTTTATCAAAATGAATTTGTTAAGTTATTCAAACTATTGGTTTCATGTTTATTGTCTGAAAAATCTGTTCTGAAAGGTATGTTGAAATTTCATAAGTTTAATTCATTTTTGTTCGTGTCAAAATAAAATGTCTTTTGTTCTATTCGATTATAATACCTTCCAAGAATCGAGATGAGCGCTGTTATAATTAGAAGAAGAATTATTCTGTCAACAAATTAAAGTTTTCTCCATGTTTGTTTGAATAGGAGTTAAATTAAGCTCTACAGATAAATATTACAAGAGAGAAGTGTACATATTGAAATCGTAATGGAAAAATATGATTAATCAAATATGAAAAGAATGATGGATTCTTCGATCTTCTTTTAGTTTTTTGTTGTTCTATCTTTCAATACTATAAGCATTTTTCAATATTAATAATTAAAAGTAACTGAATCGCCAAGTATGTATACGTTTAAGGCTTCTATAGAATTTTAAAAATATCTATGATTTTTTCTCACAAACTTTCAAATCAAAATAGAATACTGGAATTATACGATAGAATCATGTATAAGATTCATTTAAGACAACATAGTGATATATGAAATTTGACTTCGTCTACCATCAGTTTTATTAAGTTATGCCAAAAGTTTTATTTTCCATTTTTCTATCTTGCTTTTCTTGACTACAATTTTCCATAAATTTATTTAAAAAAAAATAAATTCAACATTGTAAAACTTGTCATTCTGACAAATTTTACGAGATATATGGTGTGAGAACACTGCTTGAATAAATAACAAAGAAACCGAAAAGAATTATCGAGACAGTATATATTTTGTTACCATCATTTTTGTATGCCATTAAAGAACAAGAAAATGTTTTTCTGATTGTCATTTCCAAAACATATAGTTCTGAGATTGTTTCTCACTTTAGAATATCATTCATAACATGAGGAGTTCAGCGACACATTTAATAACGCTTTTTATTACTTATATTAACTTTCAGATGCACTGAGCAATATTTTAAATTCTTAAATACATTGACTATATACTAAGACGTTAATATTTCATTGCTTTTCTTCATTCTATAATCTTTACCAAATATTATTTAAAATAGGAATTGAACTGAATTAGAGAAGTTTCGAATCAAGAAGTGAAACTTTATCTTGTATATTATAATGTACAAGTTTTTTTCAGTTCCCCGATAACTTTCATAAGATTGTCACAGAACGAAAAAAGAAGTATATATATGTCAGCGTCTAATCTCGGATTGACGTAATTTTGTACACTAAAATATCAATAACTCTTTAGATAGACGTTGGATTCGAATTGTTTTTTTTTTGAGTTATGTTCACACGATGCCAGTTTGTTTGGCACAATTCTCATTTGACAGATTTGAGTAAAATTTGAGGAGTTATGAATAAATTTCTAAAGAACAACAACTTCTGTGAAAAATTTTCATTAAATTTTTGAGTCTAAATTTAACTTCTGTCTAAATGCTTGTAAAACTTAAAACAGCATTATGTATACATCATTTCAAAAAATAGTTTGAATCCAACGTTTATCTAATGAGCTACTGATATTTTAGTGAACAAAATTACATCAATCCGACATTGGAAGCGTCCAATCTCGGATTCGACATTCGCCTAAGTCAATCTGAGATTGGACGTAATCTCAGTTTGGACGCTGACAAATACATATATATATATATAATACATGCGTCGTATATGTCCATGCATTATGCATATATGTTATGTCTGCTCTAGTGTTTTGCGTGACTAATATTTTTGGTCCTAATCACGATCACGAAAAAAGTTTCTAATCGCGAATGATCACGATCACGACGACGGAAAAAGTTCATAATCACGCGTGATCGTGATCGTGAAATTCGCGATCACGCAAAACACTAGTCTGCTCATGGATTACGTATATATGTTCTATCTGTCCAATCATTATTAAAATATATTTATACGAGATAGAAAGGTCACTGAATTAACTTTGTTAGCAGCGATCTAAATTCAATATTTTACATTCAGGAACTTTTTTCTTATGTAAATTAAATCAATTTTTTCTATTATATTAGTCGAACCAAAGGGGAAAATGTGAGACTTAGGTACTTTCGGAGTACAATGGTAGTACAGGAGAGTACAATGAAGTACAGAGGTGTACAAGGGAGTACAGTGAAGTGCAAGGGAATACAGTGGAATTACAGCGACAGTACAGTGGAAGTACAGGAGAGCACAGTGAAAGTACAGCAGGAATACAGTAGAAGTACAGAGGAACATAGGAGAGTACGCAATTCAGGGGTCTCTCTTTCTCCCCATTGAGTCCAACCGTTCGCAGAGGCCTCTAGTTTCAATATAATATTTATCTGAAAACTGATTGGATTGAAAGAAAGCATATATATGCACTCTCAAAACACGTTGATACCTATGAAAATATAGAGCAAATGTCCCTAATTTCGACACAAAAATTTTGTCTTATCTTGTTTAAGTCCGTGCGCAGCTAATTAAAACATGAGGCAAAATATTTTTATATATGCATATTCACTGAACTCTGCTCTTTCAAATGGTATATCAACGGCCTTTTTCTTGGATATTTTCTCTGAGAAATCAGCGGTCTACGATGATGACCTTCATCTGTCGAAATTAGGAGCATTTTCCTTAATTTCGACACCAAGCCATTTTTTGCCCCTAATTTCGATACTCATACAAAATTCAAGTGGAATGCAATCTTTTCAGAAAAAAAAAGTTTTTTTACGTCTTTTGATCAGAAAACGAACAAAGGTACTCTCGGCGATTTTGTAGAGCATCTCAAGATCTATCATAATCTAAAGGTTCATGACTAACGGAATTTGTTTAGAATAAGTTCAATAGCTTGAGAGGAGAACATCTAAAATGGATGAAAAAAAATGTCCTTAATTTCGACACCAAGCAAATTTTGTGCCTAACTTCGACAACAAGCTATTTTTCGTCCCTAATTTCGACATCAACCTATTTCCTTGCGGAATTTTTCAGATCGCTACAAAGCTGATATAAAATCTCTTAGCCGGATTTCTGGGGAACCAAAATGTGAAACACGATATAGCTATTGTAATCCAAGTTACTCAGATCTGTCTCGATATGTAGGAATGGAAATGTATGCAATTTCTTATCTGTATATAGCTCAGCATTTCTTTTAGTTTGTGTTTCACAAAGATAGGTGAATAATGATACAAGTATAATAATATATGTACAGGAAAGAGCTTATGAATAAAGTTCTATTAGATCTAAAGCCTCTTGTAAATAACACACTAAAAGAAATGTTGAGCTATATACAGATAAGAAATTGCATATATTTCTCTTCCTACATATCGAGACAGATCTGAGTAACTTGGATTACAATAGCTATATCGTGTTTCACATTTTGGTTCCCCAGAAATCCGGCTAAGAGATTTTATAACAGCTTTGTAGCGATCTGAAAAAATTCCGCACAAGAAATGGGTTGATGTCGAAATTAGGGACAAAAGTTGTTCGGTGTCGAAATTAGGTACAAAAAATAGCTTGCTGCCGAATTTAGGCACAAATTTTGCTTGGTGTCGAAACTAGGGACAAAAAAATGGCTTGATGTCGAAATTACGGAAAATGCTCCTAATTTCGACAGATGAAGGGCATCATCGTAGACCGCTGGTTTCTAAGTGAAAACATTCAAGAAAAAGGCCGTTGATATACCATTTGAAAAAGCAGAGTTCAGTGAATATGCATATATAAAAATATTTTGCCTCATGTTTTAATTAGCTGCGCACGGACTCAAACAAGATAAGACAAAATTCTTGTGTCGAAATTAGGGACATTTGGTCTACACAGAAATAAAATGATTAGTGGTTCAATATCCATTTTTAATCATAGAAAGTTTAAAAAAAGCAAGTATAGTATGACAGTCGTATATACGATGTAATTTTGTAAGTACGTTTGCAAATGTTTTATTAGAGTATAAGAGTACTAGAATGGAGCTGAATTTTTAGCACAAGAATTCTTGTGTAATCCTTTAACTTGAAATTAATCTCTCATTATTATTCTCGAAAAACTGAAAATAGTTATTGAACTTGCGAAGATTTATCGACTATTCAAAACAGTCTAGGCTGCTTCCAAAAAAAAAGCTTGTTAGCGCAGCTCCTGCGGAGCTAAAATGTGGAACTCACGTATACGTTTAGCTTTGTTATCTAACGCATCATCTGTATACTGAAAGACTTCGTGTCAACTATAGTTGTTTTCATTGAAAATCGATGAAAAGAATGGGAATTTATTATTTATTTGTATATAAAAAAAATATATTAAAAAACGAAAATATTGTTTTTTCATTTAAGCGCGCTCGATTTCATTTATAATTATTGCTATATACTCGATAATAATCATTTTTTTTTTGTTTTTTAATTTGAAATTATTTTTCTCCGCCATCAACTATTTTATGAATAAAACTATTAGAATAATGTAGGTTATATGTATTAACAACTCTTACATTAGCCTATGTCTCAATTAATCTATAATGCCGATATTGTTTATCATTCACACTGATAAAAAGATCGAATCATACATCGCATATGAATTATATCGCTGCTATAACACATCAATATATATTAATACTTTGCCTCCTTGATTTTTAGCACGCAAGCTCAAATTAAAAGAAAGATCCACGACTACATTATTACGAACTTTAACAAGTATATAAATTTTTTTTAAATAAGTATGAAAGTACTGAGATATTATATAGCAGTCGAACTGATATTCTTAATATTGTTTAACTTGCTTCTTTTTATTGCTAAATAAATCTGCAGCGTTTTATGCGCGGTTGTTGCAGTCTGTAAGGGGGGGGGGGGGGGGGGGGGGAGGAGCCGCAAAACCTCGAACTTAAAACTTACACTCACTATTTTTCTTCGAAAATATATATGAGTTCCACAAATGATATAAACCTTTCTTGATAAAAATAGAAATTACATACTACACTAAGCATATTTTACGATGGAAAACAAGTTTAAGAACATTTTCAATAGAATTATTCCTTACAAGGTCTGCTAATCGGAAATAGTGTTGTACAATAATAAGATAAGAATACTTGAATGCTTACTTTAGACTAAATACAGTGAATTACTTGTAAATACTTTTTGAAACTCTTAACTCATGAGATTTAGTGATTTGGTACATACTTGCTTGTCTCACAAAACACAATTTTTTCATTTAGTATTTAAAGACGTTCATGATTGTTGTATCTTTCGTCGCTTGTAGTCATCTTTCTTACTGATAAAAGAACTAAGAAAAACATATTTTATTCAAGATTAAATAATGTGGAACATCATACATCTTATTCTCGTATTGGCTCTACTTACAAAGGATGTTCAATGTCCAGGTGGTGGTGGTGGTGGCGGAGGAGGAGGTGGTGGTGGTGGAAGTGGTACTCGTGGTAAGTTACAAGTGAAGTGAGTGATCTAATAATAGTAAAAAAAAAGATGGCTGATCATGGTTGGAACAACGCATTACCATTTTTTGAATCTCGTATGAAAATATCTCTAGATAGAGAATCAATCAATGGCAAAGCCAGGATTTTACAATAAAGACATTTGAGTCTCTTGGCATTCTAAGGTTTCTTACTAGAATCGACTTTGATGATATAGAAGAGTGATTGACGAATCATAAAGTGTATACAACAATATTTTCATTTGAGAGTCAAACAGAAATGCCACACATTACTCAAGATGGTCTAGCTTTTTCCCATCATTATAAGTAGGATTCATTTTAAATGTATGAATATTGATTTCATTTTGAAATTCATATTCCCATTTATATTAATGATTCATTTTCAGGGGGTGTAGCAAAGCTATGCCTTTCCAGTGGATGCTCCGCTACTGACTTTTATTTGTCTTTACTTTATGTAACCTTTCTCGTGAGTCTATTTATGTGTGGGTTTTGTGTATGCTATCGTATATGCACTGCTGGTAGACCATCACAAGTGAATACTGATTTTATTCGTCGAGATTCTTTAAAATATCACAACTATGAACGATTTCCATTTCAAACCGGCACCTGGTCTTTTCGATACTTTCAATATGGAAAATGGCATGGACCTTATCGAATGACACTCACATTTGATTCCTATTTAGGCGAAATCACTGGTCAAGGAACAGATGATGTCGGTGATTTTACTACCGATGGTATTTTTTCTTCGAAAAATCTTCGACTGGCACTAACACAGAGTTATCTAGAAGGAACAGGAAATCCAAACGAGAATCTCGGTCATAAATCGATTATACAATTGACTTGGAATTCAGATGAAGATCAATTTAAAGGAAAATGGTATGTTCGAACATACAAATATAATGGAGATGGTTTGTTTGAATTGAAATTAGAAAAATCTTCAGAATCTTTGCTGAACAAAAATACTGAATGCTAAAAATGAACCTTTTTATTTGATAATCTTGTAACTTAGAATAGTGCTCAACAAAATGAAAGAAAAAAATAATAATAATTTTTCGTATTTTGTATAATTCAATCAACATAAATCAGTAAGGCATCAATATTGACAATAGTGTCTAACAACTGACAAATAAGAGTTTCTAATTTGTCGAATAACTATCATTGTCATCATATTAATTTTTCAAAAAAAAACAGTCATTATTTTATTGATGTTCTTACAATTTCCTAATTCATTAAACTCCCAAGGGTGTGGATGTGGGTGTGGGTGCGGGTGGGGTTGTGTGGGTATGGGTGTGGATTTAGTTCTTCTGTTCACAGACGCCCACACCCACCCACACCCACACCCACACCCACACCCACCCACACCCACACCCACCCACACCCACACCCACATCGACACCCAATTTAACGTTTCTGTTTGTTCTTACATATATCCATCAGACTTTATTCTAGTATTTTCCTATTTTAAATCCACTGCTCAATATAGAGAAGCATATAATTATCGATTTTCTACGAATGTTTTTCTAAGAATCTATCCTTATGACTTCTTCTCAGAGACAGAGCTAAAGGTCACCTTCAATCCGAACCTTCAACAATACTATAAAAATCTGTGAAAAAGTGTCCGAAATTCAACTAGCAGTTTAAGATTTTTGAAACGAGAAAACCCATGTTATTTCTCTCCAGTGTGTGAGCTTTGATCTTTACACGGAAATTCTCAAAACATAGCTTGTTCTAAAAAAAAAAAAGAAAAAGGAGGCTACGAAGAGGAGTTTTGATAAAAAAAGACTAATAAGAGACAGAGTGGGGGATGTCAGATTTTGTTTTTAAATACAAAAAATAATCAAGTTCATTAAAATGATCAAAGTAATTCACGATTAAAAAATAAACTGTTCTTCAAAATCTATTTCAATAAATTAGTTTCTGATATCAATAATTGAAAATGTAATAAGTGATCCATATTGACTCTTGAATAGTTAAATATTTATTAATAAGAATTTTCTATTCTGTCATAAATCTATTCATTTTCAATCTCTTCATGGAAAAAAATACGATTGATTATTAGAATATAACAGTAAGACTTTTTATATAAATTATATGAACGTTGTTTCAGAGTATCATTTTAAATTTATTTCATTTGACTTTAATCGTTTTGCTGCTAGAGAAAAGTATCGAAAATTTGTTTTTTTTTTAAATTAATGTACCCCGGTATGCATGAAACAATAATCGAATATTTCTAGTAAGATTAACACAATGAGACCATGACACAAATGAATTAGAAAATAATTCAAAAAGTATCATTGATTATCTACCAGGGACTATCACAATTTCGTGTCGTCCACACTGTGAGAGAGAGAGATAGTATGAGTTTTTTTACCATTAATATCTCCAAACAATAGTTGAAGATGAAGATTGTGGAGACCCTGATAGATCATGCTTTCACAATTTTCAATTGTTTGATAATTAATGTTTTTTGACTTACTTTGTAATTCATTTGCGTCATTCAGTGAATACAATGAGCCATTAATAAACATTTACCAGGAGAATCATTGTTACAATTTATTATACAAAAAAAAATGGCTTAAACATAATATACAACAATGTTGATAGAGAATCTATAATAAAACTATAATACTCTTGAATAAATTTCAATTTAATTGTTTCTTTTGAAGAAATCCTTGCAATAAAATAAGTTGACTTTTAAAAAATAGACTAAATTCTCTAAGTTGAGGAATCTCAACATATAGATGATTTTATAGACTTTCCTCGAATGAAGAGCTTCAAATAAATATAAGATTAATATCATTGTTGAATCCTTCTCTTTTCTAAATATGACTCGGAGTAGAAAATAATAAACTCAACGAAAAATATATCTTAGTATTCGAAACATATCAGTTTTCATCATTTCTACTTAACTAATGAGATTCGAAATGAATAAATCGGTGATCATACACTAATTAAGCTTACATATTTTCTTTTCTGATTTCTATTACATAAAAGTCAACATTTTTCTTTCGTTTCCATAATGTCATAAAACTGCTTCTTTTTTATATGGAAATACAATTGATTGATTAGTTCTATATCTGAAATTATTATTATTTTTTTTTACAGTTCTAATTATTCAAAAGTCTTATCTATTACTCAATAGATAAGAAATGTCAAAGAAAAAACAAACATTTTTGTTTTTTTTTTTTTCTTTTAATTTGATAAAAGTCTTCATTGTTGATATCCATATATAGATATTGATAGAATCTTTTTATAAGTTACATATTTAAACATACGGGTATGATTTACTCTTCTTAACTTTTTTGTTTATTCAATGGAATGTAAAATCTTCATTATGTCTAAAATAAAATAATAGATCTTATAAAAGTATAAGAATTTTAATGTGAATTAAATAAATAAAATCATCGTATCATAGAAGATAGATTCAATACTTGACTGACGAATATAGAAAGAAATAATGTAAAAATGTTCACATAAAGAGAAATCTTCGATTATGAATAAGAGAATATAGGAAAAGTTTAAAATCTTTTCATTCTCGAAAAAAGAGAGAAATCATCTGTTTTCTAGCAATGGTCGTCGAAATTATATTTCTATTACTTGTCTATCATATTTATATATTGGAAAACACAATATGGTCGAGGTTGAGTTAATATTCGTAAAATGATATCATTTTAAAAATGAAAAAGAGCTCGGAAAATAAATATGAAAATTCTCCTATTTCATTCAATGATGATAAAATGCATCATTTCATCGTTCTTACTATAGAATCATTTAAATCCATTTTGTAGAACATATTGAAGAACTATATTCATAAAGAGAATATCGAGTTTTTATTTAATCGAGCAAACTTTCATCCTATTATGTAAAACTATCACCTTAGATTAAAATAGAAAAAATTTCCTTTTGTTGTAATATGCAAGTAATTTAAAAGTCAATTAAGATTCTTTTCTTTGATATTTTCGTATGATTAGATAGAACTCGTCGAGTTCTACAAGGATAAAGTTATAGTTTTACACAATAATATGAAAGTTCGTTGGGATAAATAAAAAGTCGGTATAGTCATCTATAGTTGAAGAAAAAAAAAATTTGTTGATAAAGTTAAACGTAGTAGCAAGGAAATATCAAAAAAAATTTTGGTAGGTTATTTTTGAAACATCCTTCATATGAATTAACTATCGATTTATACTGTTCACGATCGATATCTTGAAAAACATTTAATTTCCAAGAACAATTTTTGTTTTCTACACAAAAAGAAAATAAACGTTCATATTTACTTATGTTCGAAAAGTAAGAAGAAATCGAAGAATAGGAAGCTAATGCAATGATTGATGCAATATCAAATAATGTTAATTCTCTCCAATAAATATCGAAAGTTGATATATCCTATTTGAAAATGAATATAATCAAAGAAAAATAAGTTAATTATTATTCTAGATAAAAAATTCTGAGTACATTAACAATTTACCATGAAAGTAATTTCGATTGATCAGCTTCATGTCAAATACTATTATTAACAATGACAGTTAACAATTATAAAACCCATAACAATCAAAAAATTCCGTTATTGGTTTTTTTGTGAAACACGATCTGAAAGGAGTGTTGAAGTGTATAAGGTAGAAATTTTGCACCCACCCCCCCCTCCCCCCCC